CGATCCCGGTCGAGGAGGAGGTCGAGTATGAGTTCGACCAAGCCAAGTTCGAGGAGTACGTGTCCTCGTCCGGATCTACCTCCCCCCGCAAGTCCAAGAAGTCCAAGTTCTCCTCCAGGAGAAAAACTCGTTTGTTTGAAGAAGTCGAAGCCACCAACGAAGATCTCGCCCCGTTTGATGCCAAAGTCGCATCGGGTGAGATTCCTCCAGTTTCCAACCAGGTCAGATCTGCTCTGGCCAACCCTTCTGCCGCAGGGGGCGTGGTGACTCTCTCGAAGAGAGCCCGCCAAAGGCAACGTCAACGCCTTGCGAAACGATTCGCAAAGGCCATGGAGTCCGTTGACGGGATCCGCTACAACACGGATCTGAAGAACAAAAGAGGCAAACAGCCTCAACAACAGATGAACGGCGCCTCTTCCAAGCCGCCAATAATGGAATGGATCCGTGTCAAACGGAACCGATCGACGCTGGAGGAGCGCATTCGCAATCGCCGCGCACTATCAGCGCAGGCACGGGTTCAAGCTGAAGAAGCCCGTAGAAAGTTGCAAAGAGACGTAGCCAAGAAGCCGCCACCAACTCGCAAAGTTTGGAGGCCAAAGTCTGAAGCGGCAATTCAGGCTAAGGAGCAACCTTTGCAGCCTCCAACCAAAGTTCAACCTCCGGCGAACCAAGCTAAGCCGCCGAGAATTCCCATAGCTACTTTGGGAGATCATGCAGAATCCTCCCGAAGGAGAAAGTCAGTCTTGGAGCGCCTCGGTCTACTTCCCGAGGAGCGAAGCAAAGCTCCAATCCAAGAACGTTTGGACCCACTACGAAAGCCCCAAACAACGCAACATGCTGGGGGTCGCCCCAAGCGCACTACTTTGCGCATTGAAGTTCGGGAGCCCGTTGAGGATTCACGCCCACAAAGGCGCGTTTCAAGACGCGTGACTCTCGAAAGCCCAAAGATGTCTGCACCAACAATGTCTGCACCAACAATGTATCCTTACTGTAATAAACAGAAATAACATGTCTGCACCAACAATGTATCCTTACTGTAATAAGACTACTATATATGATAGACTACTTTTTATACCAAAATATCTATAAAAACAAATGATAAGAAATCTACTCACCTCGAGAATCTTCAACACTTATGAAGAACTATGCTCCAAAAATCTACTTCTTCATCAAACCTATAAGCATGCAAGCATATATATTTCTAATAAGATGTCAATATAACTACTCTTGACAAATCTATCTATTCTTTATAAATAACTATGTGTACTAGAATTAGTATTTCTGTAACTATAGAGGCTTAAAAGTAATTTTCCAAAAACTATTCCTCGTACACATCTTTCCTACACTATTGTTTCTTTACAACAAATCAGACTTAAACGTAACTTATCTAGAACTAACGCCTCGTTTGGTACACGGGAATGAGGAGGAATGGAATGCAATTCCCACTTCCCATTCCCTCATACCAAACACACCTATATTTTAGATGTTGGAATGACCATTCCCTAGGAATGATCATTCCCACTATTTGTGGGAATGAGCATTCCAAGTGAGAAGATAAGGAATGGTCATTCCCATTCAAGTGAGAATTAAAAACTAGTTAGGTATTTTTCAATTATATCCATATTAATAATAAAGAATGTTTGGGTGAGGCGCTATGCAAGTGGGCAATTTTAGATTGACAATTGAGGCTAGTATATCATAATGCTATTTCGAAACTTATTATTTTAGTTGATATTGTTTTATGGATTTTTGCTATTATGAATTGAGTGATTTTGATACTTTATCAAATAAGTTAATTTATATATCTAGAACTGTGGATTGTGGATATCATTCTTTTTTTTTTGGACCTATGAAAGATACGATAATCTTTTTTTTTATTTTTCTTTAATTTTTAAGACTAAGAAATAGCGAGTATTGTTTAAAAAATATAAACGAAACATACACATGATGGATAACACGAGCATTAGTATAACACATACCTAGATTAATATAACATATGCGTATATAAAATTATTTAGTTATTATCATTAATGTTTATTTTTTATCTTATTAAAAATCTATGTTGTTGTAAGGGCATTATTAGAAAATGAGATTTCATTCTCACTTGTGTACTAGTGATACCAAACATGGGAATGAGAATGAGATTTCCATTCTAGCTTCATTCTACGAACGCACCCAAACAAGAGAATGAGAATGATCATTCCATTCCCACATGCAATCCATTCCATTCCTTCTTCCATTCCATTCCCAAGTCTGTCCATTCCCGCGTACCAAACGAGGCGTAAGGGTTAAGTTTAAGTTTCCATCAAATTGGTTCTCAACAGGGACATGCCTTAACAATTGGACTTAAAAGTAAATTTTAATAACTAAGGGCTTATATGAAAATTTCCATTAATTTTTATAAACTAAGGGATTATAGGAAAATTTGCATTTCATCATCCTCTTTTCCTTCTGTTCACTAGAACCCAATAACATTCAATTCGTGGATCTGTCTCCATCGGAATCCTTGACAAGCGAATGTTTGAAGGTCGCTAAAAGTCGTCGGAACTGACCCTGGTGGCCGA